GGGGGAGAGGGGAGGAAGAGAGAGAGGGAGAGAGAGAGGGAGAGAGAGAGTACTGGCTAATTTTGATTCCCTTAAAAGGAAAACAAGTAAATACTCACATCACTCTGGTATGTTTCAGAGAATGTGGCTTTTCCAGAGTCCTCCTTCGGCTTTGCTTTTGATTCCTGTTTGGTAAAACCAAGAGATTAGGAACGCAAGCTGACAAGCTGATTGACAAACTGAATAACTGATCGGCCAACTGACTGATTTAGTCAATGACTGACTTAGTACTGATCACCCAACTAATCGTTAAGTATTGCATATTCCCGCATTTTGGTAATTTTTCTTTTCGGATTTTACCTGCCGAGTAATCATCTGGCTCATTACATGTCGCTGACTAATTTACAGACTGACTGATTTGACTGGCTGCCTGCATTTCAGCCTGACTGACTGAGTAGCTGATTGACAGACTGACCAGCTGACACATTGACCATCTCAGACATACCTGCCTGAATGAACGACTGAACAATTGACAAACCAGTGGACTGACTGACTGTTTAGCCTACAAATTGACTGTCCCAAAATTGTTGCCTGCCTGCCTGACCAACTGAACGACTGACTGACTGGTTTCTACAAGCTACATACATGTAGTTGGTTGATAAATGAAAAAGTAGATCGACTGCAAAATAGGAGTGTGGACATGATCGGAAATCTCTTCCGAATATACGTGGACGCACGTGCATTGAGAGAAAAGCTTCTACAAAATTGCTCATATACGACACAAACCTTTTCCATCCTCAAATGCATTCGACGATTTACATCTGTTACAGTTGCTTTTGCTTCTCGAAACGGAGATTCAATAACAAATTGTCCCGCTTGGACTGCTGCGAGACCGTCAAGTTCATTACACTCTATCTCTACTTTGGCGAATTTTGTTTTCCTATGATAGACACGAGTTCTGGCTGCAGCATTTGTCTCTCCATCCGAGGAAGAATTGTCCATATCAAATCCTACTTTTCCATGACCATTAAACCTGTTCTCATACTCAAGTAAGTTTGTGCTTCCAACGTTCTTGTTTCCAGATGAAAAAAGTTCGTAAGACTTTCGGAAGCTTCCTTTATCTACGTAAGTGTTTTTAAAGACATCACTTTTGCCCTTGGAGTACGAGCTTTTGTTGTTTTCGAATCTCACCAATGGTCTTTGGAACTCATTACCAGGACCATTCACCTCGGTTCCTGCCAGCGAATAATCCTTCTCGTTGCAATTTTCCCTTTTATTGAATGCGTTTGAATTTATTCCCAAAGAAAGATTTGTCGGAGTTTGGGAAGTAGATGTGAGCCTGTCTGGGACCTCTTTGCGTTCTTCTTCTGTATCATGCGTGTTTGCAATTCCTTTAGCAAGGGGAAACATCCTGTTCTGTGGGTGAGTTGGTTTGGGCTGTCCTGTAGCAAGAGGACCTTCCATGGCGTATCTGGAATTATCTAAAGGCAACTGGTTTACCCGAGGCGATTCCTCATTAATTGTCGCCTTGTCTATTTGAGAAGATAATAAATTTCCAATCTTCAGAGATGTTACATTTTCCTGTTTGGTTCGAGAGTGGTTTGGAGAAAGAGAAGTTGCAGTAGTTCCCCGCTTTAAGAGTTCAGTTCCAGAAAAATGTTGCCTTTTAACTTCCTCGTCAACGTATGGTTTGAAGTTATACTCAGTAGGAAACGAAATGTCTGTACAACTTCCAGCATCTGAAAATAACACAGCGGTATTTGAATTTATTGATTGATACTGGTTTTACCGATTAGCGTAGTCAAACTTGAAAAAGGCTGCCCTACGCATATCAGAAAACCAAAACGCTGAAAGAGAACAAGGCTTCCGTTCACTGTTTTGCCCACTGTGTTATGCCAAAGACAAGTACATAACGGAAAAGCAAAAACAAAACAAAAAATAAAAATTCTGTTTATTTGAAAAAAAAAATTAAATAATCAAGATAATAATAATTTTTGACGTTAACAACGATTCAGGGCGGGGTAATGCTCCTATCAAAACTGTTCATAAGCTTTACGACGACCATTACGAGGCCAAAATGCGCTCTTAAACTTGACTTACGAAGAGTTCTTTCCTCCTTTTGGATCTCAGTGCCTACCTAGCCCTTTCACTTTTGAGATTCAGCAGAAACATATAAGTACACTCTATCAAGGTTGTATTCTTCTGGTTTAAGAGCGAGTGTTATTTCTAGTTTAGCAGCTGTTTGAAGAATACATTTTGTGCAGGTCAGTGGAAGGCAAGAACAAACCTGTTATCTTATCTCCTTGTTGAGGCAACAAATTTGCAAAGGAACACTCAGAAGCCAAAAATGGATGTAGCACAGCTTGATAAGGCGTAAGTCTTTCACCTAAGATACAAATCAAAGAAACAAGGGGTTTTTTCACATATCACTGAATGTAGCATTGTTTTTTAGGATAATTATTGTAACAAACAATATGTTTCAAGTAAGTTTACACAAACTTTCATAATGATAATTCTGTTCACTAACCTGGTTCATACTTCAGCAAGCCAACTAAAAAACTTGAAAAAGAGAAATTTCTTGAATTATGGAGTTTTAGCATCACATTAGACACACATTTCAGGTGATTGCCCTCTAAAAGCAATGGAAAAAAAAAACAAGTCTGAGGTGAAAAAAAAGCTCACATTCGTTGATTCCTATATCCTATGTAGGATTCTTTGCCCATGAACATGTATTGTATTTATGGATTTATTTGTCCATTCTTTTTTTTTTTTTGAGGCAGAAATGGTTGGAAAGGTGAATGAAGGGATACTTTTTTCTCTAGGCATCTCATTATACATGAAGTTTTTTTGCTAGAAATCTTCCCATGTATGAGTTAATTTTCAATTTTCATTTGAGCTACCTCCCAGCTTAGCTCCCTCTCAAGTCTTTGGAGGGTTCCACCTTCACACAAAGGATAAGTTGTCTTTTGTTATTACACTACATGTAACTCAGTTCAATAGTTTAAGTTGTGTTGCTTGATTAATTCTATAAAATGTTGACAGAGACCACTCATATGATATTGAGGACTAGGTAAGGATTGCCAAATTAGTTTGAGATAACTTGATTACATTTGAATTTACCTGAGTTGTGACCTATAAATTGTGATAAATCTTCAAAAAATTTTCCAATATGGAATGGACTCCTAGGTATGGGACCAAGAATACTGGTTACCTAGCAACAAAGCAAAAAAGAAATGAAAAAATTGATTGAGCTTACTAAGTACCATAGTCAGAAGGTGATCAGAAGAATTGCAAGAACATTGCAAGTTTGTTTGTATTCATATTTCCTCAAAATAGTGGTTTAGTGTTTGTGTAATAGTATCGGTGATGACGTAATCTAATTAGCATAAAGCACGTGGATGAGGTTGTGTGATGTATATAGAACGAGTGTGCGAGTGAATAAAGGTGTGTTGCAATGCGGATTCCGTGTGCTCTTTAAGTTCCCGACAAGATACTAAAAGTGGCAGTCTACAGAAAGTGTAACCAGAAAGGGGGATACCATTAGCTGCATTCTAGGTAACTCCAGTTGATAAACAGCTTGTAAAAGTGCCAAAGAAATAAAATAACATACCTCTTGCAACACTTTTGTTTTATTTTCTCCTAGAAAGAGAGGTTTGCCTGTGTACAACTGAAACCAACAATAATATCAGAGGACATTATTTCATTTCCAAATCAGTAACATTAACAACTTATACACCACGAAAATGTGAAGTATCATTCATTTTAACTCAGAATGATGGCATTATTCATCTAAAGATTGTTTATAACAATCAGAGTACAAACTGATCAATAAACAAACCTCAGGTAAAATACATCCTAGAGACCAAATGTCAATCTCAGGGCCAAAGGGAACACCAAACATCACCTGAAAAGAATTGAGACTGCGTTTTCAGTTCCATTATCAAGTGGAGTATACTGTAATACCTTAAAGTTTATAATACCTGTATTTACCCTTGTCAGTGTTTATAGCACAAGCGCTAGTGGGGGTCAAGCAAACAATTACTGAAATAAATAATTCAAATTGAACATAACATTGTTAAAAATCGCAACTGGCCAGAGGCAAACCAGTTGGCTATTTACAAGCAGGGCTCAACGCTAACTTTTCAATGTACAGTACTAGCCAAGTGGCTGGTGATGTTGTCCATCTTAGATGCTACGACAAAGTCAGTTCATTTACAAGCCAAACTGGGCAGTGGAAACCAAAAACCACTAGCCAAACCTGAATTTCTACTAGTCTGTGGCTAGTGGGCTACCATTAGTGTCGAGCCCTGTACAAGCATGAACTTGGAGCTTCCATGTAACAAATTCAGGTAGTGGTCAGGGTGAGACTTGTACACGGGAGTGGTGGATTGAGAGTCTGACACGCTGACCACCTGGTCACGCTGCCTCCAGACTGTGCTTCATTGCGTTAAACAACATTTAGTGAGAGCTTCTTCCATAAGCTGAACTTTTAAAAAGATCGTGAACACTACACTGTAAATTTCAAACTTACCTAAATTAATGAATTTGTTTGATAAATTTGGACTTACTACCGTAACGTCACAAATATTTGGGTACCACTACTTTTCCAGTGACCAGACACATACAGGCACAATAATGTTTCTGACTTTTTTCTTTCCGAAAAATAACAAACTAAGGCACATTGCAAATCTTATGATTTACTGTAACAGTCTTTTTCATCTGCCACAGGTCATCCACATGACTTGTTTTATGACACATACTACTGGATCATCATTCATAGGATGCTTAACCCTTTAACTCCAATGGGTGACCAAGACACAATTTCTCCTTACAATATCAAGCAGAAAAGTGATGAGAATAAAGAACAATATCACTTACAAAGGGATTTTAAGTTGATCCAGAGCTAAATTCTCTGAACTAAAATCATAAGAATTGTATGGCAAACAGCAAGAAGAATTACCAATATGATCCTCAGGGTGAAAGGGTTACATTTATGCAATTCCAAAATATTAATGGTTTAACTTAGATTTATTTTACTTAGACCAATCAGGAAAACACTGGAGTTGCATGCATGTAACCTAGCTATATCTAAAATGTTTCTGTAAGTTTTGTCACCCAGATACGTAACAATCTGCAATCTGCAATCTTATTCATTAAAACAGCAATATTTTTTACTCTACCTCAGGGGCTCTGTAGAGTAAAGTTTGTAGGTCAAACTCATCATAATACAAGGAAACCTGAAAGAATTAAACACAAGGAAACAAGAAATTAATGACATAGTTTGCATACAGTTTATATTTAGTTATCAAATTCCATTTATCAATAGTAGCAGATGGGCTGATAGTGACCGCTCTATTATCTGCAATGACCAACTAACCATGCTACACTTAGTCTAGTTATGCTCACCAATGGAAGTTAATACTAAAATCCCTGTGTTTTCCCTATTTACTTCCTTTTCATTTGCTCATCCCTCTCAAAGTATATTAATTTTCTATAGATCTCCATATTGGAAAATGCACGACTCTCCCCAACCCTCTAACTTCCAGGATCTGATGTTACTTTTCCCCTTTACATTATAATTAGCTACTATGCATTTTCTTGTAAATTAGTTACATGGCTGAGAATTTGGTGTTAGACTAAGATAAGAGCTTCTACTGATACAATATTGTATTCCCATTAAAATAACTTAACTAACTCTTAAAATAACTAAGGAGAATTAAGATGCTACCTTTCTATAATATCAAGAAATAGATAGATATTCTGGTCTTCTCGGATAAGGACGAATAAACCGTAGGTCCTGTCTCCTGCATCTATTAATTAGTTAATTTGGTTAGGCAGGGGACGTTAAAGAACCTACTCACAAGATTACTGTGATGTGGTCTGGCCTGCTTACTGGGAATTAGGGGGGGGGGAAGGGGGCATCTTCAAATAAGTTTCCTTCGATTGTTTGTAAACTGCTGATGCAGTCCGGCTTAAGTCCCCCGAAAAGTGTTTGATCATATCCACATGTTAATTTGTGCAATATAATATTAAATTATTATCATTATTATTATTATTATTATCATCATAATTATTATTGCTATGGCAGTATATATACACATCTGGGTGCCGATCCTACTCACTCAGGCTAGGCATTGACCGTGGCTAGCCTACCAGTAAGTCTTATTTTACATACTAAAATTACATGAAATTGCTAAATCTACCATTATAAAAAGAAAAAGTCACATAAAATCAATAATCTAAATATTACATAATGCATCATAAAATCCTATATGAGTCCTTAAGTAGCTAGCTGACGGGCATGTGTGAGAGTTCTAAGCTAACTAAGAACCTTAAAGGTTCTGGCGATGTTCAGACTGGCGCTGAGGACAGCTTTCTGCAACTGACAAAAGACTTCTTTCCCTCTCTTTGCACCTAACAATTCTCTAACACTCCTTCCAAAATTCTTAGAGTTGTCCCCCTAAGACATCTACAATTATTATTATTACCCGTTTGCTAGAAAAGGTGTCGATATCATAGGGAGAAGTTACAGGTTAATCCCTTCTAGGGGTTAAGGGCTGGGTTAAACACATGTGCACAGTTTCATAAAAACAGTTTTTCACAGCTGGTACAGTGTATGTGAGCCCTTTCCCTTTCTGTAGAATTTGCTTGTCCATAATACAGTATAAACACTGAAATTTTCTAAAGAAACTGTGGTGCTGCATTGGTGTGGGTAACAAGGTAATCAGGTTATATCAACTGAGTTGAAACAGTAAAAATAATTAATGGCCACCGTATGTTAAAAAGCTGATGTTTCAAGTGTTAGCCCTTTGTCAGAGCAAATGCTCTACAGTATACTTTGGATAAGAGCTTTATCCTACAGTATAGTATTACAATTTTAGTATAATTTCAGAGCTGAGCAATTAAGAGTTCCCAGCAATCTGATCGGTCAAGCGGTTCTTTATATGACATACACTATATAAACTGACCCACACCGTTTATATAAAATGTTAAAATAAAATGTTAATAAATGTTACTAAAATGTTATGATTTTAGAAATTTCTCTGTTGTTCAGCTCTGAAATTATACTGAAACAATTATTTGCCTCAGGTTTAGTGAATATTGTCGAATAATTGTTAAATACTAATGCATTCCCTGCTGTATCTGTACACATTTACTACCTAAAAGTAGTTATATAAATTACCAAATGATAGAAATTACCTCTCTATGAACCCAGTGAATTGCATTTCCAAAGTCAACAACTTTTATCTTGATTTCGTCACCTACAGTGTGTTAATACAACATACAATAAGAAAAAAAAGGTATATAATAGTGTGTTAACAATCAGAACCCCCAAAGGAGGTTAGCTTCCAGAAATGCCAATAGCTAAGCTGTTATCCCATAGGTCAGAGGTCAGTTTGGCCCTATATTCTGAGTCTGTTCCAATACATCACAAAGTTTGCAACTAAGACATGTGGCCCCACATGAGGCATCCCTGGAGGTTCCATCATGGTGACATTAATGTACAGGTAATACCATGATTTCAATTGCACTTTGGTGTTAATAAACCCATTCAAGTAAATTTTTCAAAGAGAACCAAACTGCACTTGCCCCATGCCTCATGCAATTTTTAGTCATTGAAAAGTTTACAAGACTGCTTATTTACACCAAATTGCACTTGAGTCATGATATCGCATAACTTTTAGTAATAATTTACATGAAAAAAGCACCACAGAAAATCAAGACATGAAATTTTGACAGTGTGCGCTATTTGTTATTTGCACTCATCTACAACTTTGCACTTGTGTTACATGAAAAACGTACTCGTTTTCAGCCAATCAAAAGCACATAATTTTTCAAGTATATTATCAATAGCAGAAACAAAAACAAGACAGTGCTGAAACAAAATTTCTTGTTAGGCAGAAACATGGCAACACAGCAAATAATTGTATGGGAAAATGAACTCTGAGAAAGCATTAAAGAAGCCTTTCACTAGCCACTATATGCTGTAACTTCAGAATCTTTAAATATATTATAGGTCTGTTTTTCTTACAAACTGCTTGTAATAGTTGTCATTCATATCTAAAACCAGATCAAATTGTTACAACTATCTTTAGAAAGGAGGCTTTTCGATTCAATAAGTTCAGCCAATTTTTTCACTCATCTATTGTAAACACACCACGTACTTCACCTTCTTTAAGAAGAATGTTCTCTGGTTTCAAGTCAGCATGGATAATATTCTGTCTGTGGATTGAGATGGAAAGCTGAGTGAGAAGCATATAAAATCCTGAAATCAGTCCCTACTCTCAAATGAGCACCCCCCTTTGAAAAAAGATTCACTCCTATTGTCCAGAATACAGAACAAGCTTCCTAATAGCCCATTTCCGAATTACCCTTGGCCCCTTTTTTAAAACGAGGCTTGGTGCTCAACCATTCTGTTGAAAATGAGTTTAATTTGCATGTGAATGAAAACTTATTATAACATAACCAAAGTAAAGCGCGTGCTCTGATTGGTCAATTTAGCGTCCCCCATTTGCCCATGAGTGTACGCTGCTGACGTGAGCAAATGCAAAGACTATTTTTCCGCACGCGCTTGTTTTTTCTGGTCACGTAAGATTTGTTAAATAAAAGGGAACTCTTTAGCTACATGTATCAATGTTATGTTATAAAACAAATAGTAAACACCACAGCGTACACTATTGAGTTATGGATGCACTTGGGAGGTTTGCTAAGCACTCAAGAAGCTAGAGTCGCTCTCCGCTATCGCCTCGAGCGACTCTTACGCTTCTTTCATGCTTAGCAACCTCCCGCGTGCATCCATAACTCAATAGTGTCCGCTGTGGTGTTTACCATTTGTTAATTATCATATGAAAGGATGAGCACCAGGACTCATTTTGAAAATGAGACCAAGGGTAATTCGGAAATGGGCTATTCAAACCAGTGCCACATTTATTATTTACACTATTGAGCTATGGATGCACTGGAGAGGTTGCTAAGCACGAAAGAAGCGTAAGAGTCGCTCGAGGTGATAGCCGAGAGCGACTCTAGCTTCTTGAGTGCTTAGCAAACCTCCCAAGTGCATCCATAACTCAATAGTGTACGCTGTGGTGTTTACCATTTGTTTTATAACATAACATTGATACATTGTAGCTAAAGAGTTCCCTTTTATTTAACAAATCTTACGTGACCAGAAAAAAACAAGCGCGAGCGGAAAAATAGTCTTTGCATTATTTTGCTTACGTGAGCAGCCTACACCCATGAGCAAATGGGGGACGCTAAATTGACCAATCAGAGTGCGCGCTTTACTTTGGTTATGTTATAATTATTATTTGAGACATCAGCAAAAGATCAACAAAAGCTGGGCAGGGGAAGAGTACTAGCTTGACAATGAAATAAAACCATTTGGAAGTACAGCTGAGTAATTTAAGAGAGTCCAAAGAGAACACTTACAATTAATCTTACCTCCTTAGGAATCCAAGAGCTTGTAAGAGCTAATTAAAAAGCAAATCAATTTATTATTAATGGTAATGATCATATGATTTTTATTTCTGTCAATAAATTTGAAGCACAATTAAAATTTCCATTTGAAAGTGAACCCCAGTGTACTTTAAAATGGACTTATAATAAGTTCTTATATCTGAAAAAATAATTTAAAAAAAACTGTACGAATTTCAAAAAGGTTCGCTCACTTGAAAAGTTATTTTCCGAATGACTTTCAGTTTATCGTCCTGTTGGTAAACCATATCAAGAAAACATAATGTTGACCACTCAATATTACAGAATACTTATAATTATGGTTAGTTGATGATCTTTCCAAAGATCTGAGTGTATAAATCAAGCGATTAACAATAGATAATGGTTAATTAAACAATCAAAGCATACAATGCACATGTAAATATACATTAAACACTCTTACCTCATTATCAAACTGACATTTCTGTAAAAAAGATGATTAGAAATTTAATACTATGTCAATAGAGAAACAGCTGCAACAAACCAAAAAATGGATTGAAGGTGATAAAGCTCTCAGAACAAGTTCACTTCATGTTTACCAACCTGAAAGTATTGATGAAGCGGCCGAGGACGCAGAAGCTCAAAAACCAAGCAGTAATGACCCTCAAAACTGAAAACATTCTAAAAATTTAATTACAGTGTCAGACGCCATAGCAATGGAGAACACTCTGAAATCTACACAATAGAAGACCCTTTGCTCCTCACCTCTGAGCAGGATTTCCACCCAAGAATATTGTACGTATTGCAGGAATAATTGAGTTAAAATCATCCTTTTGTGCCAATAATTATCTCAGTGGTATTAAATCAACTATTTGGTGTCAGTGGCTAGTAGTGGATAATTAACTTGCCAAATAAAAACCACTAGCCACCTCCACTTTCAATACATTTTGTTGTATAGTATATGTGAGTATTATCATGAGTTGTGCCTTACTTTGACAAGCAAAATACAAACAATGAGTAAGAATACTCAGCAATGCTACACACCAAAATGACCAATAAGTTATTTATTATCCAACACACCAAATTGTTATTTAAGTGCAAGTGAATTTTGGGTGTATTTATCTACGGAGAATGTGTGACAGAAGTATGCGAAGTGGAACAGAATTCGCATGTTGTCATGTTGCTGTTTCTATTTTCTTCAATAAATGATGAAATTTCATTGTCATCTAACTGCTTATCTTCACTTGATTTATCTAATAAACTTGGATTAATATTCACCAGCCATTCCAACTCTCCATTGTCAGATTAAAATGATTTAAATTGTCTGCCATTTATTTTCATTGTAACTTCAATCCAATTCATAATGCTTGTGCAAAGTGAGAATACCTGTCCTAACCAGTTATCTAGAGTACAAACACCGCATGATATTTGCACTCATCAGGGCATTATTTGTATTCTGTGGAGTGTAGTTGGATAATAAATGTTGATTTTGCACAGTGTCTCTAAAAGAAGTACATGTAACAAATTGATGACTATAACTGTACAGTAATTATGGTGTTATGACTTACAAATAACTGAACAGTCCTGGCAACATGGAGAGGATCAGCCTTGTTGAGCTGTTGAATGCAATCTGCCTCCTGCATCAGCATTGACAATAAACAGTAACACCATGTCATACAAAGTGGAAAGTAATTTGAGCCAATTTACCTTAGAGGCAATCTTCCAGAGCATCTTCACATGTACAGCCTCCACATGCAGTCTATAACTCATGTCAACTTAAGGTAAATGTCATCTTGAAATTTTCAAGCATGTAGTTACACAGTCAACTCCTACCAGTAATGATAGTTTTGCTACCATTCTCAGCTGAGTACAACAGATTGGAATTCAATGAATTTTGAAAAAATGACAATCATACTGCAGTTTCATGAAAATAATCTACGAAAGTGATTCTCTCAGTAATAAACCCTACTATAATCTAGTAGTGGAAATAGGCCTGAAAAAAAAATGCAGGCTCATACAGGATTTGATTTCTAATACTGCAAGGATTGCTTTCATACATTTCATGAAACCACAGTACACTTATATGATTTTCATATATTTAAAATTCAGATTTACTTTGATGGGTTTAATTATACAAGTTACTAACATAATGGCCAGCTCCCAAGTTGGTTTGTTAGCTCAGCTGGTGGAGAACTGCACCTGTCACAGAGATCATGTAGGTTCAAATCCCTTATGGGCCTGAATTTTTTTCCAGGCCATATTTCCACCACTAGAGTGGGGTTTATTAATTACTGCAAGGATCATTTTCATACAGATTGGAATTTGTTTTTCTGAAACATCATCATGCAATCATGCATAAACTTTTAAGCATATCTGTAAACACATTACTTGAAAGATACCTGAGCTCCAAGTCTGGAATAATCCAAATTCATTATCTTTATAGCAACTTGCTTCTTTTTAAAATGGTAAGTATCCTTCAAGGAGAAAATAACATGAATTTTAGATTTGGTGAATATACATGCATGCTTGGTAAACTGAACAGTTTTTGTTCAATCATTAATAAAACAAGTTCCATCATGAGAGGGGAAACTGTTGTCTTGGAGAGATTGGAGATTGGAATTGGGCAACATTGAGGCCAATGGGTATGATTAACAATTATTTGCTGAAGGTGAATAATTGTTTTAGTATAATTACTCAGGTGATTATAGAAATGAGCAAAGGAATGTTAAATTTATTTCTCATAGTCACGCGTGAACAACTGAGCAAGAGCCACTCACACGGACAACTGACTATTTCTCTTGTAAAAAGTCCTGTCTTTCCTCTTGACTGAGACGTAAAATTTTGACAAACATTTATTCATCTCGTTGACCTCCATTGCCTCAAAGTCAGTGGTAAATTCGGTTTGTTGTTGAAACCATTCTGTTAAGTAAATAAAGTGTTGCAAAAGTTTATTGTAGTTGTTTTGATCTTCATGCATGTCGACATATGCAAAATATTCACGGGAATTTAATTATAAATGGTTTCTTTGTTACGTTTAGCACAATTTTCACTCCTAATACCTTTGAAGAGTGTCATTCCAAACTTTGTGGCATGTTTGGTATTCCTTGGAATGGCACTTTCTCTCATTAAATTAACTTCCTCTTCAGACACATCGACAAAACGCGAAGTGGCCATTTTGAAACTATAATCACCTCGCCGGAGGTGATTATAGCGGAATATGATGCCATTCTCGGCCAATAAGAGTGCGAGAATTTCTATAATCACCTGATCACTTATTATCCCTTAGGTTTCAAAAGTTTCAGCTGTTTCTAGAGGGAACGGGCCTTTGGGGTTATGAGGGAAGTAGTTATTTTGAAACATAAAATACACTGTCCTTTAAATCACATTTGAAACTCCTTTGAATGTCTTACCCCTTTACGTTGTTATGAAAGACAGACTGCATTTGGCCTCGTTTCTWGAGGCTTTAATCTACAAAAACGTCGTGCTACATATACTTCACAAAAATGGCATCTTCACAAAACAAGTCCACTGACATATAATGTTGACGGGCACTGAACAGGTATGGGTATCCCAGATTAACAATAACAATAACAATGTAAATTATGGCTACTGGTACAGTTACTTAAACAGAGTTTCCAATGTTTGATTGTCACTACCCATGTAACTCCTTAGATCTGAATGTTACTCTCCCGTCTAGCTTCTACATATTTTCTTGAGTTATTGGTGCTAATTTATTTACCAGAATTTAAAGTTACATCAAGATGACAACTTCTTTCTGATAAGACTTAGAACAGTATCTCTCTCATTACCTGTTTGCTATTTAATAAATAGAATCGTAGGGAGAAGTTACTTGTTGATCACTTCTGAGAGTTACAAGGATTAGTGGCAAGTTTTTAGCCATTTATCATAAGCAATAAGTTACTCAATCCAGATATTATCTTACATTCTTGGGATAAAATTCAATTGGTATAAGGTTAGCTGGTATAACAGGCAGTACTCGTATTTTCCCAAGACAATAATATTGCAATTCTGTAATAATTATTTTAACTGTATGTGCGTATGTGAAACTTACCTCTGCAGAAATCAAGATTGATGATTTCCCTTCACCAATAACTTGAATAAATTTGTATCTTCCAGCAAGCAGTGGAACTACCAGAAAAAAAACATTATACAGAAGATAACAATTTAATATATGAATTAAAAATGAAAACAATTGAACTAATTTATTTTGATAAATTAAATATTATACAATTATAATGATTTGATTTTTGTAATATTCATTTCTTTTGTTCAGCCTACACATACTCAAAAACCTTTTTTTGATTTACTGCTCTTTAACTATTACTAGCCCAAGATACATGTTGCTCAGTGTGGAAGCATGCTTTTCAGAAAGATTGCAAATCTTTGGTGCTATAGATGTAACCAATGAGCTGAAAAAGAGTAGTTAATTGTGTACCTGGGTAACAAGGCTTGAATTTACCATCTTTGCCTGTCTGTGAGGCTGATACTGGAGCAGAAAAGAAAAAGAGAATGTACACAATAAATGAAAATCAAGATGCCATAATGACTGCAACTACACATTCTGGTTCACTTATCTTGCTTTTATGCAAGAAACAAATCAAAAATTGGGCTGCAAAGTCATGGTTTGGGTTATCAGCCTTCTCAAAACTGGCCAGTCGGTGGCTCAACAAGCTGCCTCCTTTCAAATCTTGACTGTCTCTTTTCAGTCAAAAAATATAATTTTCAACGGCAACAAATGAAAAAGAAAACAAGAAAAATTAAATGCAAACAGAGAAAGTTAAAGAAAAGCCGCCAGAGTGCGTTTAGCTGGTGTGATCCGCTTAAATCTTATATGATAATTACGTGACTTTTTACCCTTTTAACACACCCAAAATGCACCAAATTGCATCTCCGAGCATCTAAATTTCCAAAATTTTCCGGAGAGCATGCCCCCGGACCCCCCTACAAGCTCATGCCCGCAGGGCACTCAAAGGGGTGCCATTGGCACCTCAACCTACTCCTCTAATCCATTAACCTACTCCTTGAAATCCTTTTGAGAAGGCTGGTTGTGCTCTAATAATGAATGGGAGGCGTGATGGCCTCATGGTTTAGTGCGCTAGACTGTGGACTGCCAGTTACACGGTGTTGTGTTCTTATGTAAGACAATTTACTCACACAGTGTCTCTCTACACCCAGGAGTAGAAATAGGTACTATAAAATTAATTTTAATGCTGGGGGTAACCCTGCGATGGACTAGCATTCCATTCAGACAGGGGGGGGAAAGTAGAAATACTCCTAGTCACTTCCTGCCACAGAAACCCAGTTTAAGTGCCAGCCTGATGGGCCACTTGGCTCGTAAACACGATTTACCCTTTACCTCTAATAATCAATGGTCTTTTTAATCAAATTGCTGCCAAACTTGCTGGACATTTCCCACAAAAAGGCTGAAAAAATAATTATCTAGACTCCATTTATCCTTTGAGACTTTATCGAAACATGACTTTTGTGGTTTCTGCAGGGCAGTAGACACTAACAGTAGCCAACTAGCCACAGACAGGTAGAAATTCAGTTTCCACTAGTGGTTTTCGATTTCCACTAACCAGTTTGGCTAGTAAACAAACTGAAATTGCTGTAACATCTAAGTTGTCACAAGCCACTTGGCTAGTAAGTTGAAAAGTTAGTGTCGAGCCCTGTTCTGTACAATATACAGGTAAAATTCCCCTCTTGACAGGTACAGTGTACATGTAATAAATGCCCCTGATAACTGACAAAAGTTTTCTTTTCCTAGTCTTCTTACAAGGGGTGCACCTTTTTATCAATTTCCCCCCTTTCAAATAGGTGTACAGAGTTGTACGAGTAATATGTACCAGTTTACACCTAACAGATGCAAGAGTCAGCCAACAGTGAATTTTGCTGTTTACTCCATAGAACTTGACCCTTTAACTCTCAGAAGTGATTAACCTGTAAATTTTCCCTTTAATATCCCTACATTATCCAACAAACAGGTCATGAGAATACTTAAACTTATCAGGTGGAAGTTGATATATCTTGATGCGAAATCGAATTCTTCTCACTAATTTACAAGGAAATGTGTAGCAGCAAAAGGGGAAAATTAAAAATCAAATCTTGGGAATCGGAGGGTTAAGGAGACTGGCATTAAAAATGGCAACAATATATAATATCTTATTTGTCAGACGTTTTGTTGTGTAGTATCACTGAGCATTTTTACGATGTTGTGTCGTATTTTGACGAGCCCATAGGGCGAGTCAAGATACAGATAACGAGTAAAAATACTCAGCAATATTACACAACAAAACGTTTAATAAGTTATTTATTATCCAACACGACAAACTGTTATTTCAGTGCGGGTAAATTTTGCAGATATTTCTTTACGGGGAGTGCGTGACAGAAGTATGCGAAGCGGAACGGAATTGGCGAGTTGTCGTGTTGTTGTTTCTATTTTCTTCATTAAATGAAGAAATGTTCTGGTTGTCAAGCTGTTTTTCTTCATTCGATTCATCTAATAAACTTTGATCTATATTTCCCAGCTATTCTGACTCTTCGTTGTCGGAAATATGATTCAAATTGTCCGCATTTTTTTTCCTTATTTGTACTCTACCAAGTGTAGTTGGATAATAATATATCTTATTAGAAGTTTTGTTGTGTAGTTAATTGCTGAGTATTTTTACGAGTTGTGTCGTATTTTGACATTAGCCCTATGCGCTCGTCAAAATATATGTGTGTGTCAAAATATGTGTTGTGTCATATTTTGACGAGCCCTATGGGCTGGATAAATAACAATAAAAATACTTAGCGATACTACAGAACAACGTCGGAAATATGATCCAAATTGTCCGCCACTTTTTTTTTTCGTAACTACAATCCAATTCTTTGCTTGTACGATGTGAGAAAACCTGTTTAACCGGTACTCTAGAGTACAAATACCACGTGATATTTGTACTCGTCTATGGCGTTATTTGTACTCCACGAGGTGTAGTTGGATAATATATATATCTTATTAGACATTTTGTTGTGTAGTATCGCTGAGTATTTTTACGAGTTGTGCCGTATTTTGACGAGCCCGTAAGGCGAGTCAAAATACAAATGACGAGTAAAAATAGTCAGCGATACTACACAACAAAACATCTAATGTTATTTATTATCCAACACGCCAAACTGTTATTTCAGTGCGGGCGAATTTCATGGATTTTATTTACGGG